TCTTGATGACTGCAGAGAGTAAATCTCTGCATTTGTCAAATTGGATGGTCTTGGTGTAGTAGAAGAAAATCCACCTGACCTTCTTGAAAATATATCAGACCTTGAGGCATTTGATTTTCTAACAGTGACATGAAGTTTTCCATCTTCTTTTAACTCTGCTTCAGTCTCTAAAACTTGTCTACCATCTAATGACATGACATCAGAATCAACATGAATAGATACAATTGAACCAGCAGTATCAGGAAACTGCTCAGAAATTAGCAGTCTTGCACCTCTAAACTCAAACATAAAAAGCATCAGAGTGTACCAAATGATACACTGTAATACAACAATTTGAACCATTAAACTCCCAGAGAAATCACCATACATTCCTTTTAACAAAGGAATGCCCATAACTAAAGTATTTGGAAGAGTTGATAGTGAAAACAGAGTTATACTCCATTCCAAACTACCCCTTTTGCTTACATTAGCCCAAACAGCAAGAACCCCAAGAACAATAAGTTTCTGCAGAGTATCTGCAGCAATGAATCTCAAGTTCATAGCGTAAGGATTATTAGCAGCTATAAAGTGGAAAGATAGAAGTGGAACTGCAAAAAGTGCAACAAATCTGTTGATCCCAGAACACTGATCTGGTGAGAAAATCTTCCACCACTTAACAGAGCCATAAGCTAGTATCATAGCTACATAAAGTGGCACAACAGCAGTCATAACATGGTAGAAATCAGATAAAGTTATCATCTTTGCTATGTTCTTGATATACCCAAATCAAGAAAACAGGTTTTACAAGTAAAGGATGAAATGGGGTTGGTAAATATAAGCAAAGAGCATGTGTTTTGGTTTATGGGGTTGTGGGGATTTTGCAGAAAGAAGGAATATAGAAAGAATTAAGTAATAAGTATTACAGCTTTGAGAATTGGGAGCAAGCTTACAGTCTCCAAAGCAAAGGGGGTTAGGGGATTTTTCTAATGTATATTTTTTGCCCTCTGTTGTTTTCTTGTTTGTTTGGATTTGAGAAGAAGAAAGAAAAAAAAAATGGTGTGTGTTAGTAATTTGGTAAATGGCTCTATCTTCAATGGTTCACAGAGTTGTATAGAGAAAAAGCATTTTGGTTGGAGGTGGTGTCCCTATAAGTACTTGTTTGCCGGGGTTTTCTTTTTAAAGTCATTTTCTTCTTGTTTTTGGCTTTTTGGCTCGTGGCCTATTCATGGGCTACCTTTTTTCTCTACCTAAATTCCTTCGTTACAATTTATTTGTTTCGATTATTTGACTTAATATGAAGTTTAAGAAAGTGTATAAAGCTTTTGAATATCGAAAGAGGTTCTTTTTGAAATTAACTAAAATTGAAACGGAGGAAGTAATTAGAAGTATACTCGAACCATTCTCTACAATTACATTTCATGTTATAAATCAATATTCATGTTACTTATTATATAACAATAAAGTAATAAGAATAAAGTATATTTGTTTTTGCCTTTTGTCAAGGCATGCAACATTCTGATGCATGTGAAAATGATACAAGGCATAATAAGTTCTATATTAATGTTTCAAAAATATAGGTTCTGAAAATGGTGAATCTTTGAGGCCTTGATGGGGCATTGTGACTGACAAGAACATGAGCTAAGGAACAACAAGGCTATGGTGAAATTAAAGGTGCAATTTTGTGGTGGACCTGTTTGGTTTGTCCATTCCTAGATTAACCCATTATTCTCATGGATATGATCAAAGGGCTAAGGGAATGTTTGGTTGAAGGTATTTAACGGGTTAAAAGATCAACATGACAAACAAAAAGAACTATACACATCAATTGACAGATTGTATTTTGATGAAAAACATACACGTACATCTTATAGAATAATAGATAGTTTGAGACAATTAATCAAAAATAAAAATATAAAACTAATTAGTTTTAATTTAAGGATTAATGATATAAATATAATTAAGTAATTTAATATTGGCTTTCAATATATTAATTAAAAGCTACTATTTTTCATGGTTGTTGAAAAGATAATTATAAACATACATTTCCCAACATTTCTTGAGATGGAAACTCCATGGAGTTCACCAACTTTGAAGTGAAATGTGATTGGCGGCTATGAAATAGTAAAATGTTAGAGATAATGGTAAAATAATGTCCTAGAAGTTATAAAAGCAGAAGCATGCGTTGAAATGAATGATGAATAGTAGTGGCAAATTGGAGCAAATTAAGATTAGTGTGTCATAACTCTCTTGGACTCCCAAAAACAAACATTATGTTTAATTTGCACAAATTGCTATATATTGGTCTTAGGAATAACCCATGCTTATGTTTCCCATGGACTACAAAAGGGCAAATACATTTCTCACACACTCTCTGCGGTGTAATCAGCTTTCGTACATCTCAATTATTTTATCGAAGTATTTTTGATATAATATATGAATCTTATCGATAACTTTTATCAAAAATTTATAAATATTTTATTGTGAACTCAATTACTCTTCTTATTGAATATAACTTGTAGGTACAAATTTATTAAATTCTGTCGACTCGTTTGGCTCTCCTGAATATATGTGCTTTTGTCTCTTTTCATTCTTTACCCTCACCCTTCTCTCTGAGGCTTGGTCCGCTTAGGTTCAAATTTGGATTTGTTACTTCACAAGAAATTGCGTGCTCTTAATAGAATATTTAGACCAATCTTTTTGGGATTTTTTATACATAATTTAAGTGAAGATGAAAGTTTTGAATTGCTCAATTATTTTGTCATCT